CTGTGTTAACAAACCTCCAAACGAGCTTCAATGCCATACAACAATCCTTTAGTAGCCTCCAACTGCTCTTAAACACTAGTAAAACTAAATGCATGCTTTTCAATCGAACGCTGCTGGCACCCGCCCACCCGACTAGAATCACCACTCTCGACGGGTCTGACCTAGAGTATGTGGACAACTACAAATACCTATGTGTCTGGCTAGACTGTAAACTCAACTTCCAGACTCACATAAAGAATCTCCAATCCAAAGTTAAATCTAGAATCGGCTTCCTATTTTGCAACAAAGCCTCCTTCACTCATGCTGCCAAAACATGCCCTCGTAAAACTGACTATCCTACCGATCCTTGACTTCGGCGATGTCATTTACAAAATAGCCTCCAACACTCTACTCAGCAAATTGGATGTAGTCTATCACAGTGCCATCCGTTTTGTCTCCAAAGCCCCATACACTACCCACCACTGTGACCTGTACGCTCTTGTTGGCTGGTCCTCACTACATGTTCGTCGTCAAACCCACTGGCTCCAGGCCATCTATAAATCACTGCTAGGCAAATCCCCGCCTTATCTTAGCTCATTGGTCACCATAGCAGCACCCACCCGTAGTCTGCGCTCCAGCAGGTATATCTCACTGGTCATTCCCAAAGCCAACACCTCCTTTGGCCGCCATTCCTTCCAGTTCTCTGCTGCCAATGACTGGAACGAATTGCAAAAATCTCTGAAGCTGGAGACTCTTATCTCCCTCAATAACTTTAAGCATCAGTTGTCAGAGCACCTTACCGATCACTGCACCTGTACACAGCCCATCTAAAATTAGCCCACCCAACTACCTCATCCCTATATTGTTATTTATTTTGCTCTTTTGCACCCCATTATCTCTATTTGCACATAATCTCTTGCACATCTAGCATTCCAGTGTTAATACTATTGTAATTATTCTGCACTATAGCCTATTTACTGCCTTACCTCCATAACTTGCTACATTTGCACACACTGTATATATATTTTCTGTTGTATTTTTGACTTTATGTTTTGTTTTACCATATATGTAACTCTGTGTTGTTTTTTTATTTATTTATTGCACTACTATGCTTTATCTTGGCCAGGTCGCAGTTGTAAATGAGAACCTGTTCTCAACTGGCTTACCTGGTTAAATAAAGGTGAAATAAAATTTAAAAAAAGTAGTAGCCGCACTGCGCTGGTCTATTAATTAATAGAATTCTGAGTGTTTACAGGTTTCCAAGGTGACTTATTAGTTTAATGTTCATTCCCTAGGCTGGCCTACAACGGAGATCACAAAATAATTGCAACAGTAGGCGGGTTTGCATTGACCCCATTGTCTTATGTCAGATGGCGTCACTCCTATGGGACGCTCGTCCCTCAATCGATCAGTGCAGGTAGAATCAAGTCGCTATCTGACATGAGACAATGTGTTGATCCGTGTTTATTCTACAAAAGCAATGTCGCAAATGCGACATGTGTAATGGAAACAGCTATAGGAAAAAAAGTATAAATATCGACCACTTCTGTATCCGTTCGACGGGTGGATTTTTCTTTTGTCTAACTTCCTTTATTGTAAAAAATCTAATTGAAACTGTGTTTTGGGGAAAAAATAATGATTGCAGAATAAATTTGTAGGTACGCGGGGCACGTGATGTCATCACATAATTATAAAGCACCGTCTACATTTAATTCTAAATGCTTTCTGCTAAATCCATTTTTCTATAAAATTGTTTCTTTGCAGGACAAGGATTGTCTTAACTTTCAAGAATCCTGAATTGCTTCACTTTGCTTTTCTGGTTGGCTGCTTGCAACTCTCAACATCCAATTATTTCAGATCTACGCTACAGGAGTGCAAGTTCCACTGATAGAAATTCTATTAAATTATTACTATTTCTATTGCTATTCTACGGTTTCACCGTGGTATAGACTGATAATTATTAGAAAATATTAGTAAATTCTTGCATTATATCCATGCTGGATTTAGCGGGCTACCTGAGACATAAAACAGATATGTCGAAAGGGCATACAATTCTTCAACCAATAATATTTTACCTAGCTTAATAAGCTAGCTAACGTTGCTAATAATAAAGTTAGCTATATGCCTAACATTGACAATATGGTCAATCTAGCTACATTATCCATATTGACAAGGTTGTAGTTGTCCATTTTTTTCTTTGTTGTCATCTTTTGGTAAAAAAGTTAAAAGGTCACTGGTGAAACGTCACAACTCAGCAACTCGGGCAGTTTCCACACTTGGAATTCAAGTAAAACTTCCCAGTCGAAATGAGGAATTTCCAATAACTCTGACAGCATGGGAACACGGCATTATTCATTTTTTGCCAAAATATTTTGTTTTATGTGTGACGTCATTACGTCAAGCTGGTTTTATCAACATAGGGTCGTTCAATGGAAACACACCCAAGCAGGCACTTGTCACATCTATTTTCTATGCAAACTTTCTAAATGTCATCAAAAAATCAATTGACAAGTTCATGGAAACGTAGATACTGTTGCACAGGTCGTAAAGGCAGACAAAAAGGTTTAGACAAACCCCAACTGTTGCAAACCAAATCCTAGCCCAGTAGCATGGGAAAATAATAATTTCTAGATGCTTTTTTCCAGGGAAGATTAAGTTTATGAATTGACTGTCCAGGATGTTGGACAGTGGCTGCAAATTGATCATTCAAATGGAACTGTTAAAAGGCATTACCCCGGGATTGTGGGAAATAATGCCGCATTCACATGCTAGTCGGAACTAGGAACCTCAGAGTTAAAATGAACGTAGAGCTTCCTATTGGTTGATTCATCTTTCTGCAACAAGTTAGCAAGTCGGAAATGTCTAAGTTTCCTACTTCCGACTAGCACATGAATGTGGCTTTGCTCTCTGCTATCAACCAATCAGCATCCATGATCCAAACCAGTTTTATAATTATTAATTTTTGTTGTGGTGGCAACAATTTAGCAGTGGTGAAAACACTATTACTAAATGAATATAGCAGTAACCCTTCATTTTTGTTACACTACATGGAAAATACATTGGATTTGAAAAAAGTAATCAACAATCTGTTGTTTTGAGGAGACAAATTATACCACAGGACTGTCATCATGGTTACCAATTTTCAACATAGAATAACGTTTTGTAAAATATGTTGAATTTGTACCTTTTAAAACAACGTAGGATCCTCAATGTAATATCCACTGTCAGAATAAATAAACAATCGTCTCCCAGGGTTTTAACCTTCGTAGCTATGATATTTGTCACTGACCAAAAAATAGAAATAAAAAAACAGGACTAAATCACATCAAACTTTATTTAAAGTGCATTTAACGTTTGATTTTGTCATGTTTTTTCACTTAGATTTTTGGTTGAGATGGAGACGTGAATCAATCATATCAATGATTAATTTGTAGACAAACTGGAATTAAAGCCAGACAGTGGCACAGATGGAACTATCCAGGTGGAAGATAAATCACCTTGAAATTTTGCTATTTGATTGCGTTGACAACCAAACACAATTCAATATTCCTTTTGAAATACAATAAATGGCCTATTAACTTGACGTCTTTAACTCAACCAAAAACAAAAGTTAAAGGATGGGATTAAGCCAGTTGTTCAAATGGAATTTGGTTGTGCTTTTAGATGGTTGAAAGCATAGTGATAAAACATTGGGAATTAAACTACATTTTGGCTGACTTTTTGAGTGGGTGAATGTAGGTTGTAATCTCATTGATCAACGTCTCAGCAAATACTACCCAATTATCCACGTTGAAATGATGTGGTGTGCCCAGTGGGTAGTTATCAAAATGACTCTATGAACTAATCATAAAGCATGTGTCAGCATTGGATGTAAAGGTACAGTATCTTCCCTGATGAGGAATATATGATGGTGATTTCCCTGGATCTTTCCTATTTCCTAATCTTCCTTTCTATTTACAGAACCCTGTCTCATGGAGCTGTTGTCAAAGACTGGACTAGAAGATCATTATGAAAACAAGCTGACGTTAAGTACTGTCCTTGAGATAAATGCTGCTACTACATCAGATGAACCTCTTACCACTATGAAGTCACTTCCAGGGGCCTTCCTTAAGAAATTAATGATGGCAAATGTGAATGCTAGGAGTGTAAAATGTCTGACCACTGACCAGGAAGTTCCATATTATGGAGCAGACAACCTGGACACTGACTCTGATACCAGCAATGTAGTTAATCCACTGGACCTGATTACTGCCCTGTTTCTGTGCTCAGATAGTTTCCTACAGCAGGAGATGGTCCAGAAAATGTCCATGTGTCAGTTTGCTGTTCCTCTCCTGCTGCCAAACTGTGAAACAAAACAAAGCACTTTGATGCTGTGGGCCCTGAGGGACATAGTGAAGAAGTTTAGACCCTCTTCCCAAATGGCCACAAATGCTTTCGTGGAGGAGAGAATAGTTCTCTCTGATATTCCTATGGTGTCTTTTGTTAGGCTAGGAGAGAGTCGCTTGACCAAGTCTCAGATTTTGAACAAGTTGCTTAGTAACCCTCAACAGTACCATGATACATTTGTTCATCATGATATGGAATGTGGCGATGTCCCTCGCAGAATCTCAGATGGTCTAGTTGAAATCAGCTGGTACTTTCCATCTGGGAACAGAAACATAGACATGTTCACTAAGCCTGTGGCTGTTGCCAATCTCAGAGGAGGCATCAGGTCCTTCGAAAAACAGTTCTCCTTTCTGTGTCAAACATCAGCTGCAGTTTACATTTTCATTGATGACTTTGAGGCAGATCTCAAGATTTTGGATGAAAAAATCACAAAAGCAGAGTTATTTCTGGTTGTCAACTCTCAGAGCAAAACATTCAAGGTGGATACATTGAAGAAAATGATCACACAATACAGTATCAAAGAAACAAATGTGATTGTGAAAAAGAAGCAGAATGATGCACAATTTGTCAAAACCCTGCAGTCAACTGTGGGTGACATCATCAAAAAAAGTAAAAACAGATTGACAATTGAAAACATGGCTGCCGTGGCTCATCAGTTTGGGATTCTGATTGATGAAGACGGTGAGTGTCAGAGTGCCAGGACGATGGCAGATGAAATCACCAGGAACATCACAGACACAATTAAATTAAAAGATGAACAGCTACCCTTACAAGGCGAAATCTGGAAAGAGCTTTCCCAGTTGGAAAAGGAGAGGTGTAGGCTGAGAAAAGCAGGGGATGCAGACATTGAACACTACAAGAGCTCTCTGAAGAAAAAGGAGGAGGAGTTGAGAAAGAAGCAACATAAATGTGACATGTCAGATGCAATGGCAAGCTTCATTTTAGGAATGTCAAAATCAGGACCTGAGCGATCCTATTTCCTCAAATGGATGCGGATAAATCTGGACAATCTGTCACGTCAGAACCTGTCGGGTTTGCGGGACCGGTACAAAGATCTTTGCCAATATTCTCAGGAGAAAAAAGACGACATTAAACATTTGGGATAAGCAATTATCTGACTGTTCCTTAGGTCTTGAACACTTCCTGCGTGAGTTGGGCCAGTTTATATGAAGCTGCCTGCTCCCTCCCTAAAAGTAGCCTACAAAGGAAACAGATGGAGCAGCTCCCTGGATTGTGTGCTCAGATGCTGTTGGATGGTTTCCCCATTGAGCTTGGTGATGGAGATGCATCAAAATATCCCTCTAAAATGGATATCAGCTGTACTGACTCAGCTTCATACTCTTGTGGACTCTAACAGCAAGATCCGGGTTGTGACAGTTTTAGGGGTCCCAAAGGCACTGGGAAGTCCACTCTCCTCAACACCATGTTTGGTGTCCAGTTTGCTGTCAGCAGTGGAAGATGCACCAGAGGGGCCTTCATGCTACTGATAAAAGTCAACAAAGGAACTCAAGGAGGAACTGAAATGTGACTTCATCATGGTCCATCGACACAGAGGGGTTGAAATCACCAGAGCTAGCTCAACTAGATGATAGCCATGAACATGACAATGAACTGGCCACGCTGGTCATAGGACTCAGTGATGTTACGATTATCAACATCGCCATGGAGAACTCCACAGAGATGAAAGACATTCTACAGATTGTTGTTCATGCTTTATCAGGATGAAGGAAGTGGGGAAAAAGCCAGTATGTCATTTGGTGCACCAGAATGTGTCAGACATGTCTGCTCATGACAACAACATGAGGGACAGGAAGAAGTTGTTGGAACAGTTTAATGAAATGACCTGGCAGCAGCCAGAATGGAGAACCCGTTCTAACGGCTCCCTGGTTAAATAAAGGGAAAAAAAATTTAAAAAATAGAGCCGCACTGCCGGGGCTATAATTAATAGAATTTGAGGTTACAGGTTTTCCAAGGGCTTATTGTTAATTTCTTTCCCCTGCTGGCCTACAACGGAGATCACAAAATAATTCAACAGTAGGGGGTTTTGCATTGACCCCATTGTCTTATGTAGATGGGTCACCCCTATGGAGTCGTCCCTCAACGATCGTGCGGGTAAAATCAAGTCGCATCTGAATGAGACAAGTTTTGATCCGTGTTTATTCTACAAAGCAATGTCGCAAATGCGACATGTGTAATGGAAAAACTTGGGAAAAAAAGTAAAATATCGCCCACTTCGTTCCTTTTCGAGGGTGGATTTTTTTTGTCTAACCCTTTATTGTAAAAAATCAATTGAAACTGTGTTTTGGGGAAAAAATAATGTTTTCGAAAATTTTAGGTACGCGGGGCACGATGTCCCCCAAAAATTAAAAGCACCGTCTACTTTTAATTCAAATGCTTTTGCAAAATCCTTTTCTAAAAAATTTTTTGCGGACAAGGTTGTTTTAAACTTTAAAGAACCCAAAATTGTTTCACTTTGCTTTTGGTTCTGCTTAACCTCAACATCCAATTTTTAGATCTACGCTACGGGAGTGCAAGTTCCATGATAAAATTTATTTTATTAATTTCTATTGCATTCTACGGTTTCACCGTGGTAAGATGATAAATTAAAAAATTTAGAAAAAATTTTTGTTTATATCCATCTGGATTTGGGGCGGGTACCTAGACATAAAACAGATATGTCAAAGGGCATACAATTCTTAAAACCAATAATTTTTACCTAGTTTAATAAGCTGCAACTTGAAATAAAAAATTTAGTTATGCCTAAATGACAATATGGTAAATTAGCACATTACCATTTTGAAAAGGGTTTTGTAGTTGTCCATTTTTTTTTTTTGTTTCATTTTTTGGTAAAAAATTTAAAAGGTCCGGTGAAACGTCACAACTCAAAAAATCGGGCATTTTCCACATTGGAATTCAAGTAAAACTTCCCAGCGAAATGAGGAATTTCCAAATAACTCTGACAGCTGGGAACACGGTTTATTCTTTTTTCCCAAAAATTTTTTGTTTTATGTGTGACGCATTAGTCAAGGGTTTATCACATGGGGTCGTTAAATGAAAACACCCCCCCAAGCAGGATTGTCAAAATTTTTTTCTTGAAAAATTTTCAAAGTCATCAAAAAAAATTGAAAGTTATGGAAAACTGTCTGTTGCAAGGTCGTAAAGGGCAGAAAAAAAGGTTTGAAAAACCCCCAACTGTTGAAAACCAAATCTAGCCCAGTAGCATGGGAAAATAATAATTTTGATGTTTTTTTCCAGGGAAATTATTTTAGAATTGATTTCCGGGTTTTGGGACAGTGGCGAAAATTTGTCTTAAAGGGAACGTTAAAAGGGCATTACCCCGGGATTGTGGGAAAAAAGCCGAATTAAGTATGGAACTAGGAACCTCAAGTTAAATGAACGGAGTTCCTTTTGGTTTTGATTATCTTTCTGAAAAAAGTTTAGAAGTCGGAAAGTTAATTTTCCCACTTCGATACACAAAATGTGGTTTTGCTCTCTGCTATAAACCAATCGCATCCTTCCCAAAACCATTTTTAATTTTTAAATTTTTTTGTTGTGGGGCAAAATTTTAGCGTGGTGAAAAAAATATACTAAATGAATATAGCAGAAAACCCTTTCATTTTTTTTTACACTACATAAAAAAATACATTGGATTGAAAAAAGTAATCAAAAACTGGTTTTTTTGAGGGAAAAATTTATCCACAGGACTGTCACAGGTTCCCAATTTTAAAACATGAATAACGTTTTGTAAATATGTTAATTTGTCCCTTTAAAAAAACCTTTTAGGACCTAGAAACCCATGTCAGAATAAAAAAAAATGTCTCCCGGGGTTTTTTAACCCCTTCGTACTATAAATTTTTGCAGCCCAAAAATAGAAAAAAAAAAACAGGAAAAATACATAAAAATTATTTAAAGTGATTTAACTTTTTGATTTTGTCATGTTTTTTATTAGTTTTTTGGTGAGAGGAACGGAATCAATCATATCAATATTAATTTGGACAAACGGGAATTAAACCAGAAGGGGCACAGAGGGAACATCCAGGTGGAAATAAATCCCCTTAAAATTTTTGCTTTTTGTTTGGTTGAAAAACCCAAAAAAATTCAAATTCCTTTGAAATACAATAAATGGCCTATTACTTGACGTTCTTTAACTCAACCAAAAACCAAAAGTTAAAGGATGGGATTAAGCCAGTTGTTCAAATGGAATTTGGTTGTGCTTTAGATGGTGACAGCATAGTGATAAAAACATTGGGAAATTAAACTACATTTTGGCTGACTTTTTTGAGTGGGTGAATGTAGGTTGTAATCTCATTGATCAACGTCTCAACCAAATACTACCCAATTATCCACGTTGAAATGATGTGGTGTGCCCAGTGGTAGTTATCAAAATGACTCTATGAACTAATCATAAAGCATGTGTCAGCATGGGATGTAAAGGTACAGTATCTTCCCTGATGAGGAATATATTGATGGTGAATTCCCTGGAATCTGTCCTATTTCCTAATCTTTCCTTTCTATTTACAGAACCCTGTCTCATGGAGCTGTTGTCAAAGACTGGACTAGAAGATCATTATGAAAACAAGCTGACGTTAAGTACTGTCCTTGAGATAAATGCTGCTACTACATCAGATGAACACTTACCACTATGAAGTCATCTTCCAGGGGCCTTCCTTAAGAAATTAATGATGGCAAATGTGAATGCTAGGAGTGTCAAAATGTATGTCCTCTGACCAGGAGGTTCCATATTATGGAGCAGGACAACCCTGGACACTGAACTCTGATACCAGCAATGTAGTTAATCCACTGGACCTGATTAACTGCCCTGTTTCTGTGCTCAGATAGTTTCCTACAGCAGGAGATGGTCCAGAAAATGTCCATGTGTCAGTTTGCTGTTCCTCTCCTGCTGCCCAAACTGTGAAACAAAACAAAGCACTTTGATGCTGTGGGCCTGAGGGAATAGTGAAGAAGTTTAGACCCTCTTCCCAAAATGCCACAAATGCTTTTGTGGAGGAGAGAATAGTTCTCTCTGATATTCCTATGGTGTCTTTTGTTAGGCTAGGGAGAGAGCGCTTGACCAAGTCTCAGATTTTGAACAAGTTGCTTAGTAACCTCAAACAGTACCATGATACATTTGTCATCCATGATATGGAATGTGGCGATTGTCCCTCGCAGAATCTCAGATGGTCTAGTTGAATCAGCTGGTACTTTCCATCTGGGAACAGAAACATAGACATGTTCACTAAGCCTGTGGCTGTTGCCAATCTCAGAGGAGGCATCAGGTCCTTCGAAAAACAGTTTCTCCTTTCTGTGTCAAAACATCAGCTGCAGTTTACATTTCATTGATGACTTTGAGGCAGATCTCAAGATTTTGGATGAAAAAATCACAAAAGCAGAGTTATTTCTGGTTGTCAACTCTCAGAGCAAAACATTCAAGGTGGATACATTGAAGAAAATGATCACACAATACAGTATCAAAGAAACAAATGTGATTGTGAAAAAGAAGCAGAATGATGCACAATTTGTTCAAAACCCTGCAGTCAACTGTGGGTGACATCATCAAAAAAAGTAAAAACAGATTGACAATTGAAAACATGGCTGCCGTGGCTCATCAGTTTGGGATTCTGATTGATGAAGACGGTGAGTGTCAGAGTGCCAGGACGATGGCAGATGAAATCACCAGGAACATCACAGACACAATTAAATTAAAAGATGAACAGCTACCCTTACAAGGCGAAATCTGGAAAGAGCTTTCCCAGTTGGAAAAGGAGAGGTTGTAGGCTGAGAAAAGCAGGGGATGCAGACATTGAACACTACAAGAGCTCTCTGAAGAAAAAAGGAGGAGGAGTTGAGAAAGAAGCAACATAAATGTGAAATGTCAGATGCAATGGCAAAGATTCATTTTAGGAATGTCAAATCAGGACTGAGCGATCCTATTTCCTCAAATGGATGCGGATAAATCTGGACAATCTGTCACGTCAGAACCTGTCGGGTTTGCGGGACCGGTACAAAGATCTTTGCCAATATTCTCAGGAGAAAAAAGACGACATTAAACATTTGGATAAGCAATTATCTGACTGTTCCTTAGGTCTTGAACACTTCCTGCGTGAGTTGGGCCAGTTATATGAAGCTGCCTGCTCCCTCCCTGAAAGTAGCCTACAAAGGAAACAGATGGAGCAGCTCCCTGGATTGTGTGCTCAGATGCTGTTGGATGGTTTCCCCATTGAGCTTGTGGATGGAGATGCATCAAATATCCCTCTAAAATGGATATCAGCTGTACTGACTCAGCTTCATACTCTTGTGGACTCTAACAGCAAGATCCGGGTTGTGACAGTTTTAGGGGTCCAAAGCACTGGGAAGTCCACTCTCCTCAACACCATGTTTGGTGTCCAGTTTGCTGTCAGCAGTGGAAGATGCACCAGAGGGGCCTTCATGCTACTGATAAAAGTCAACAAAGAACTCAAGGAGGAACTGAAATGTGACTTCATCATGGTCATCGACACAGAGGGGTTGAAATCACCAGAGCTAGCTCAACTAGATGATAGCCATGAACATGACAATGAACTGGCCACGCTGGTCATAGGACTCAGTGATGTTACGATTATCAACATCGCCATGGAGAACTCCACAGAGATGAAAGACATTCTACAGATTGTTGTTCATGCTTTTATCAGGATGAAGGAAGTGGGGAAGAAGCCAGTATGTCATTTTGTGCACCAGAATGTGTCAGACATGTCTGCTCATGACAACAACATGAGGGACAGGAAGAAGTTGTTGGAACAGTTGAATGAAATGACCCTGGCAGCAGCCAGAATGGAGAAGAAGGAGAATATCACCAAGTTCACTGACGTGATGGAGTATGATCCAGACACAAGCAGCTGCTACATCCCAGGACTCTGGCATGGGACTCCCCCTATGGCTCCAGTCAATGCAGGCTACAGTGAGGCGGTGTACAGCTTCAAGAAGACCTTGATGGAAGATTTCAGAAAATGCCAGAGAAATGATGACTTGACACATTTCTTGAAGTGGACACAAAGCTTGTGGGAGGCAGTGAAATTTGAGAAATTCATCTTTAGTTTCAGAAACAGCTTGGTTGCAGATGCATACTCCAGATTATGCTCGGAGTACAATGGTTGGGAATGGGCCTTCCAGAGGGAGATGTATACATGGATGGTGGGTGCTGAAACTAAAATATCCAATATTGGCATGACAGATCAAAATCCCCAGAGGTCCATGTGCAAAAAGACTTGATGAGAGAAGCATCTGAGAAGCTTGCAGAGGGAGAAAAGGAAATCCAAGACAAACTAGTAAAATACAAGGAGGACTTTGTGTCTAGTGCTAAAACATTGAGACGAGAGACAGAAAACACAGTGAAGAACAAACTGCAAAGAATTGTTGAAATCCAAAGAGGGAATGACAGAACTGAACAACATCAAGAGCTCTCAGAAAAGTACAATGGAAAAGAAGGTTTTCACTCTGCTGCAGAACTGTAGAGAGAACACATATGGTCTATCAGATGAGGCCCTCAGTGAAGAGTTTGAAATCATGTGGGAGAAAACTCTGTCTGAGATACACTTCAAGGACTTCCTAAGCGAGATGTTGCGCAATATGCCTTCTCATGTTGAGGGAAAATCTGTCAACAAGGAGCAGTCATGTCAACAGTCTGTTGGTTGGAAACCAGACTGGTGGATGTGGGAGAAAAGCCTTTGTTTGGAATCAGAGTGTTGGTGGCGGCAAACTAAAAACATAGTAAAGCACTGGAATTCCGACCATCACAGGAAACAACTACAAGACCTCTGTGATGACATCATAACCACAGTGTCAGGAGTTTATAACCCAGAGGGTGAAAAGCAAAACAGATTACCATGACACTCACATCAAAGAACTGCTTAGAATAATTGACAAAACATTGCTACAACACACACAAGTTAAAGCCCAGTGAGGAATGTGAGGTTTCTCTCAAACAACACATCTGTGGCAGAGCAGCCAGAGAGTTTCAGAAGATGCATGATGATTTCATTGAAGTCAATGACCCAAGGAATTGTCTGGATAATTCTAAGAACAAGTACCTTACTGAGTTCAGAGACTTGTTTCATGACCGAGACAAGTGCCAAAAGAAAGCTGAGGACTTCACAAAGCTCTGTTTGCAGCCAGCTGTACGGGACTTGTGACCAAAATGATTGGTCCTGATGTGGTTGATTACATGAAGACCGGTAAAGGGTCAGAGGATTACAGCACCCGAGGAGCCTTCCAGTTCTCCATTTTGAAACAACTCCTGACAGATGGAGAATATGAGAAATATAAAGAGTACATTAACCATTATGAAAAGTTTGTGAAGGACTGGCTGTTTGACCAGATTGTCCAACAACTCTCAAAGGACAACAGTCTGGAGAAATTGGAGAAGAAACATCTTTCAGAGATAGTCAAGATAATCACTGTTGCAATTTCAAACATCAGAAACACAACTAGTACTGTAAAAGATATCAAGACGTTCATTCAGAACATCTGCTGTGCACTTGGTGAGAAGCTTGTCTTCCCCAAGGATGCTCTGGATTCCATCATGACTCTGAACTACTTTACTAACACAGCACAGTTTGCTGACTACCTCACAGCGTTTGTGGGAAAAATGGAGCAGTCACTGGCAACTGAGTACGATAAGAGAGGAGACATTAAAAAGAGACTCAGATCTCTGCCATTCAAGCCTCAGGAGGAGATGTTCACCAGTGTGTTTGGCTGTGGGGAGGCATGTCCCTTCTGCCATGCACCCTGTGAAGCAGGAGGGAAGGAGCATGCCAAACACTTTACCTCCATTCACCGTCCACACGGAGTCATTGGTTGGAGCAGAAGAGTGACAAAGGTGCTAGTTATTGACATATGTTCATCTCTTGTGATAAGTGGCCGTTCATTTTACAATCCCTCAACAGCAAAAGAATCTTATCCCTACAAGGACTACCAGACATATTACCCTAACTGGGTCATAACTGGAGATCCCAGCGTTGAGGCTTCAGTCTACTGGAAGTATGTGATGGCCACAATCAATGAGAGAATTGCTACAGGATACACTCCCTGCTGATATCCCAGAGGACTGGAAGGCATTAACACCTGATAATGCAATGAAGAGCTTGAAGGTCTCCTTCAAAATGAAAGACTAGTATAAAACTAGCTATAAGAAGTCTCTAGTTGTCGACATGACAACCATTCAAAGATGTCAGACTTGACAACCAGAAATAACTCTCATGACATGGATATATCACAGAATCAAAATATGAGGAGACAGTTTTTGAAATAATGTGCAGATCTGTCAATACCCAATGCAATTCTGAAAAGAACAACTGTAGTACGGCAAGTCATATTTTCAGATACATTGATAAATTATGTGAAATCCTGGCTATTTACTGATCTGATGTTCCGTAATGAAACGGCTAACACTTTGAGTTTATGGGAAATTAATACATTATTATTATCAAGTAATAAACAAATGTAATCATGATGTTGATGTAAGCAAATACTTTTTTGCTAATTCAGAAATCATACAAAATGCAAGAAAAGTGAACATGAATACAAGCAGGTTAACTAACAGATTCAGAGTGTTTTACTTGATAATGTCCATAAATAAACACAATACACAGGTAACTAATGAGTTAGTCTGACATTGAGTATTTCTTTTCAATTATAATAATAATATTTATCTCATTTGCCATCTAACCTATGGCTTGATATGCCTTAATCACATATTATGAAGAGACAGCATCATGTAGCAGTAAACGGTTGGCTTGGATTTAGTTTATCTTATTTACATTTTAATCTTAATGCCATGTTTTATTTAGAGAATATGCATTTGTTGTTTCATATACAGGTATTACACATTTATTGGTCTTTTAAATAATTTACTTAAATAAGAATAATTACAAAGTAGACTTAAAATATAATGTTTTTAATTGATCACACCTTCAAATAGTGATTTGTTCAATGACTTCATTGCTTTTAACACATTAGTTTGGATAAAGTGTAATCCATGATCAGTGACCATCAGTAATGTAACTTCCTTAATACCCTTCTGGTATGCTTATGTATACAGTATGTTTTGAAGTACTGCTCAGTGACCATCAGGAATGTAACTTCATTTATACTCTTCAGGTATGCTTGATGTATATAGTATGTTATAGTATTGAAGTACTGCTCAGTGAGATTATAGTAAGAAAGGAATTAAAAACAGTTTTTTCCAACAAAATAAAATATGTATTGCGTAGTAATGTGTAATAATAACATGTATGATCTATATAAAGGTTTAGTAATAAACATTGGTGTCATAGTTTGTTTAATATTGCATAGTAAACTTTAATATTTGTAATTTGTTTAAATGTCTGTACTAAAGTTTAAGAAGAAAATAAAAAAGGTTTGAAAGAAAATTGTATTTACCTTCAATTAAACAAATCTCTCTCTCCCTCTGTCTTTCCCCTTGGATGTGTGTGTGGGGCCTGGTTGCATGGGTGGTGTCAGGTTACAAGCTGTGGGGGTTACAAGCAGACAAGGGACCTGCTCAATGCAGTATTTTCTAAGAAAAAATATGTTTAAAACAACTGTCTTTAGAACAAAAAATAATTATACATATAAACATATATTGTGTAGTAAAGTTCAGTATTGTGCAATAATAATATGTATGATCTATATAAAGGTTTAGTAAAAAAAACAGTGTTATAGTTTAATATTGCATAGTAAACTTTTAATGATTGTAACATTTCTGTACTAAAGATTTAGAAGAAAAAAAAAAGGTTTTAAAGAAAATGTAATTTACCTTTAATGAAATCTCTGTCTCTCTCTGCCTCCCCAAGCTGTTTCTCGCGCTCTCTACACAAGAGCCATTGGGGCCTTGGGATGTGTGAGTGTGCGTGTGTGGAGTGTCTTTGAAACAACTGTTTTACAACTACAGAGGCCTCACACCCTCCTCTTTGAAAGGGTCATTGTACTCCGTAAGATGGTTCAATATTCCTCAACATCTTGTCAACATGTGCCCCAAAACATGGAGCAGTTATCTTATAACAATGTATCTTTACAGACATGTATCCATAACAAGGCCTAGGCGGCCCCTATAGTGTCCAAAAATCTCTCCAAAATGTCAAATTTTTAAACATCTTCATTTTCATGCATATAACTTGTCAAAAAGCATTTGACCAAATTCACATTCTTTAGTGTAAACAATAATTGTTTCATGAGTGTTTGAGATTAGGTCCATGAATGGTCAAAAACCTCTTGAAATAGAAGTATGTTTGTAGCACAAAATATCACAATATATCTTCCAGGTAGGCCCTCTCTCCCTCTCTCATCATGTCACAAGCTGACAGGCTCCCAGAGGCAGGTCCATAAAAGGCCCCAGCTCACTCAACTGCCCCTCCCCTCTTCAACAGCCATCAGCCCAGAACATCCTGAAGACAGAACTGTCGTGACGTGACTTTCATTAATGTGATGACTGTTATTTTATCCAATCAACTAACTATGTTTAATTGTTACCCGATTAAATTAATCATGTAACAATTAACTCATTAGGAATTTGGGGCACCACAGGAAAAGTTGTTTAACGAGTTTCCGTTTCCCAAATTAACTCTAAAGATATCTAGATATCTCTTATATCATTTAACAGTCACTAATTAATCAATTACCTCATAAGTCTCATTCTGAAAGTCGTTGACTCCTTAAATCCACACAAACCTGGGTCTTACTGATCATTCCGTACCACACAAATTGATTTAATGATTTATTTACTAACTAATTAAAATGATAACACAAGATACAAACACGTACACAGTATAGGCTAGGGATTATAAACTGAATACAATGAAAACAGGTCCCTAGCGGACTAACACAATGTGACACTTGTTACAAAAGATGGCGAATTAAAGAGAGAGGGAGAGATAGAACACTTGGGTACACATGGAACTACGCTCACAGTAATCTTAATACCGTACACATGGAACTACGCTCACAGTAATCTTAATACCTTGCCCCGAACTGCCGCCCGTTTGGTAAGAAGTAATGCATGTATTTACGTGTTGGAGTTCGTGTATCTCTGTTGGACCCAGGCCTCTGTGGAAAGGGCTCGATGGGGTCTTCTCCTCGTGTTCTGGATGATAGTTGTCTGGTTCTGTAGTCTGTGGACTAACAGGATGATGTTCACTCTCCCTGTTCTGGAAGAGTGATCTTCTGAGGATGGCTAATCAGCCGTGTCGATGATCCGTGTCGATGGGGTGATGAGAACAGTGTTGTTGACGATGGCTTGAAGAGAGTGGCCGGATGGTCCTACTCAAATTCACTTTCTTAGATCCAGTAACATTTTCTCAACCGTAGCATTGACTGTTAGAGGCTCCTTTGTCGTCTTCAACCGCGTGTTGGTTTTCAGGGTCGGGACCAATATAGACCTAGCTGCAGCTTGAGGTCTGTCTAGTCTACCTGTTGATTCTTAACTCCACCTTTTATACACTCTGGTAAAGAGGGCGTTTACGTTTGCGGACACTCTTTCTGAGCTCCCGTGGGCGTGGCTAGTTACTGGGGCAAAGTATTCTGAACACCATGATTTCGTTAGAGAACCAAAATCATCTTCCTATCTTTACAAAAAATATTATCTTCCTCCTGGATATTTCCTACACAATGTAACGGATGCAAACTTGAAAATGTACAGTATGAAAGCTCTTCAAATTACAATATTTTCGTTATAATGTTTTTATTAAAGTTTTAATAACATCACAAAATAGACAGTAATTGGAAGAAGCCGATATGTCATTTTGTGCACCAGAATGTGTCAGACATGTCTGCTCATGAGAACAACATGAGGGACAGGAAGAGGTTGTTGGAACAGTTGAATGAAATGACCCAGGCAGCAGCCAGAATGGAGAAGAAGGAGAATATCACCAAGTTCACTGACGTGATGGAGTATGATCCAGACACAAGCAGCTGCTATATCCCAGGACTCTGGCATGGGACTCCCCCTATGGCTCCAGTCAATGCAGGCTACAGTGAGGCGGTGTACAGCTTCAAGAAGACCTTGATGCAAGATTTTAGAATATGTAAGAGAAAATTATGACTTGACAGATTTCCTTAAATGGACACAAAGCTTGTGGGAGGCAGTGAAATTTGAGAAATTCATCTTCAGTTTCAGAAACAGCTTGGTTGCAGATGCATACTCCAGATTATGCTCTGAATACAATGGTTGGGAATGGGCCTTCCAGAAGGAGATGTATTCCTGGATGGTGAGTGCTGAAACTAAAATGTCCAATATTGTCATGACAGATCAATATCCCCAGAGGTCCATAAAAGATGTGCAAAAAGACTTGTTGAGAGAAGCATCTAAGAAGCTTGCATGGGGAGAAAAGGAAATCCAAGACAATCTAGTAAAATACTTTGAAAAGGAAGATGGCCATGTCAATCTGGTGGAAAAATACAAGGAGGACTTCGTGTGTAGTGCTAAAACACTGAGACGAGAGACAGAAAACACAGTGAAGAACAAACTGCAAGGAACTGTTGAAATCAAAGAGGGAATGACAGAACTGAACATCATCAAGTGCTCTCAGACAAGTACAATGGAGAAAAAGGTACTAGATTTGCTTCAGAATTGTAGACAGGAAAAATCTGATCTATCATATAAGGCACTCAGTAAAGAGTTTGAAATCATGTGGAAGAAAACTCTTTCTGAGATACACTTCAAAGGACTCCCACAACGAGATGTGGCTCAAGATGCCTTCCTTATGTTAAGAGGAAATCTATCAACAAGGGGTGGGCATGTCAATAGCATGGTGGTTCGAAACAATCTGGTGGATTGTGGTAAAAAGGAATTTGCTGTGGAATCTGGGGGTTTAGGGAAGAAAATTGGGGGCTTATTTATGCACAGGAATAGTGACCATTACAGAAAGAAACTACAAGAGTTGTGTGATGACATCATAACACGCTGTCAGGACTTGATAACACAGGTGGAAAACAAAACAGATTACGATGACACTTACATCAAAGAGCTGCTGAACAACATTGATGAAACATTGCAACAACACAAGAATGTTAAAGTCAGTGAGGAATGTGAGGTTTCTCCGAAGCTACACATCTGTGGCAGAGCAGCCAGAGAGTTTCAGAAGATGCATTATGATTTCATTGAACTTAATGACCCAAGGAATTGTCTGGAACAGTCTAAGAGCAAGTACCTTACTGAGTTCATAGACTTATTTCATAACCGAGACCAGTGCCTAAAGAAAGCTGAGGAGTTCTCAAAGCTCTTACAGCCAGCTGTACAGGACTATGTGACCAAAATGATTGGTCCTGATGTGGTTGATGAAATGAAGACAGGTAAAGGATCAGAGGAGTACAGCACACGGACGGCCTTCCAGTTCTCCATTTTGAAACAACTCCTGACAGATGGAGAATATGAGAAATATAAAGGGTACATAAAGCATTATGAAAAGTTTGTGAAGGACTGGCTGTTTGATCAGATTGTCCAACAATTGTCAAAGGACAGCTGTCTGGAGAAATTGGAGAAGAAACATCTTGCAGAGATAGTCAAGAAGATCACTGGCGCAATCAGAGAAACAACTGGCATAAACAATTTAAATGATGTCAAGACATTCATTAAGAACATCTGCAGCGCCCTTGAAGAGAAGCTGGTCCTCAAGGATGCTCTAGATTCCATCTTGATTCTGAACACTGCAGACACAAAACAGTTTTCTGACTACCTTATCGAGTTTGTGAGAGAAATGGAGCAGTCACTGGCAGCTACGTACGACAAGGGAAGAGATATCAAAAAGAGACTCAAATCTCTGCCATACAAGCCTCAGGACAAGATGTTCACCAGTCTGTTTGGCTGTGGCAAGCAATGTCCTTTCTGCGGTGTACCCTGTGAAGCAGGGGGGAAGGATCATGCCAAACACTTTACATCTATTCATCGTCCACAAGGTCTAAATGGTGTAAAGTTCATACCTACAAATAAGTTAGTAATTAACATATGTTCCTCTGATGTGACCAGTAATTTAACATTCATCAACACTCTAACGGGAGAGAAGGGTCACCCCTTCAAGGACTACCAGAAATATTACCCTGACTGGATCATAACTGGAGATTCCCAGCATTGACGCTTCAGACTACTGGAAGTATGTGATGGCCAGATTCAATGAGAGAATCGCTACAGACAGAGAAGACTCAAAACTTCCTGCTGATCTCCCAGAGGACTGGAAGGCATTAACACCTGATGATGCAATGAAGAGCTTGAAAGAGTCTTTCAACATGAAATAAAGTGACTGTATATTATGACTTGTTGACCAACATGTTAACATAGAATTGAACATTCAAATACTTGACAACTACAAATAAGTCTCATGACATGAATATATCACAGAATCAAAATGTTATTAGCCAGTCGCCCATACAAGAGTTTTGAAATAATGTGCAGATCTGGAAATACACAACTGGATCACAGAAAGTCATATAAAATACATTCATAAACAATATGACCTTTTAGTAATTTACAGATCTGATGTTCCATAAGGAAATAGCTAGCACTTTGAATTTGATGTAAAAGGAATAACGTTTTCTAATCAGATGTAGATGTAAGCAAATTCAGAAATCCTACAAATAAGAAAAGACAACATCAACATCAACAGGTTAACTAACAGATTCAGAGTGTTTGACTTGATAATGTCCATAAATAAACACAATACACAGGTAACTAATGAGTTAGTCTGACTTTGTTCATTCAGTTTCAATTATAATAATTATAGTTCTGTTATTTCCTTACCATCTAACCTATGGCTTGATATGCCTTGATTAAATATTAGCGATTAGAAGGGACTGGGTTCAGTGGGAAACTGTTGGCTTTTGTTTTTATTTGACCTTTTGCGTTTTCATCCTAATGCAAGTTTTATTGTGAAAAAATGAATTTCTTGTTTCACATAGAGGTATTACACATTGATTATACTTTCAATAATACAAATAATAAAGAAAGAAAGACAAAAAACTTTATATTGTTTATGATCACTTACGAATGTTTTTTTTATTCTGCAGTGAACACAGTTCATTGTGAAATAATGCAAATGATGAATACAAAATCAATCAATTAACAAAACATTATTTGGCTTCATGAGAAATATGGTACATCAATAAATAAAATGTACACTAATTGTTCCCTTGGAATCTGTTGTATTCCATTTTAATCAGCTGGAGATAAATAAAGGCACACAATGTGTGTATCAAGAGTCTCAGAGTAAAGTGCTGATCTAGGATCAGGTCCTCCCTGTCCACGTAATATTATTCAATGTGATCTAAAAGGCTAAACAGATCATAAGTTAGCGCTCTTGCTCTGAGACGCTTGAGATATTCAGCCCCTGGTAATAAAAAGACAGAATTGACCACTAGATGGTGGTGTTGGTATGTAATCTGTGGAAATGTAAACAGACCAATTGCTTTAAAAATCCCTTCTCTCCTTGTCTTGTCCCCTGAATCTGCACTGATTGGCAGATCAGTCAAGAGCCAAAGTGTATAAGGATAGTGTTGTGTGTTGAATAAAATAAATAGTCCTTCGTTCTATAGTTTTGAAGACCAACATTTGAACCTATATATATATATATTCAAAATTATTCTAATCCAATATATACCCAATACATTTATCCAGTATATTCTATATATTATATGCATACACTGTGTGAATGTTGAATGCTTAGCAGGACAGGAAAATGATCTAATTCACACCCTTAAAAGAGAAAATCCCTGGTCATCCCTACTGCATCTGATCTGGCGGAGAACATATAACACATCCAGGTAGACTCAGTAAAATGACGTTGCCACGAGCAGCACCAGAGATATTGAGATGAGCGAGATGCAACACTTCGCAGTCACACAGTATCTGCGCATGGTTTGCTTCACACTGTACGAAGTGTGGTAGCCAGGGCACCCAAATACTTATATCAGAACTACTTCTCTAGCAGATTAGTAAGAATGTCTCACCCCATGTTCAAGAAAGGCCTTTTCCCCCCCTTCATTCAGATTACAACCTCTCACTTTCGGTTATTTGAATATGAAATGACCACCAAAATAATCGCTATTGTTAAAACAAGCCATAGAAAGTTGGTTGCAATTTCAGTTGAATTCAAATAGTATGGTTAAACTCAAATATTCTAATTGATTTAAAAAAACAATATTTTTGGAGAAAAAATTAAAAACGGTATAATCTTTGTAAACGATATAAATAGGACTGGTGGAGTTGTCACACATGCAGCTAACAAAAAAGTATGATACAGTGGGGAGAACAAGTATTTGATACACTGCCGATTTTGCAGGTTTTCCTACTTACAAAGCATGTAGAGGTCTGTAATTTTTATCATAGGTACACTTCAGCTGTGAGAGACTGAATCTAAAACAAAAATTCAGAAAATCACATTGTATGATTTTTAAGTAATTAATTTGCATTTTATTGCATGACATAAGTATTTGATCACCTACCAACCAGTAAGAATTCCGGCTCTCACAGACCTGTTAGTTTTTCTTTAAGAAGCCCTCCTGTTCTCCACTCATTACCTGTATTAACTGCACCTGTTTGAACTCGTTACCTGTATAAAAGACACCTGTCCACACACTCAATCAAACAGACTCCAACCTCTCCACAATGTCCAAGACCAGAGAGCTGTGTAAGGACATCAGGGATAAAATTGTAGACCTGCACAAGGCTGGGATGGGCTACAGGACAATAGGCAAGCAGCTTGGTGAGAAGGCAACAACTGTTGGCGCAATTATTAGAAAATGGAAGAAGTTCAAGATGACGGTCAATCACCCTCGGTCTGGGGCTCCATGCAAGATCTCACCTCGTGGGGCATCAATGATCATGAGGAAGGTGAGGGATCAGCCCAGAACTACACGGCAGGACCTGGTCAATGACCTGAAGAGAGCTGGGACCACAGTCTCAAAGAAAACCATTAGTAACACACTACGCCTTCATGGATTAAAATCCTGCAGCGCACGCAAGGTCCCCCTGCTCAAGCCAGCGCATGTCCAGGCCCATCTGAAGTTTGCCAATGACCATCTGGATGATCCAGAGGAGGAATGGGAGAAGGTCATGTGGTCTGATGAGACAAAAATAGAGCTTTTTGGTCTAAACTCCACTCGCCGTGTTTGGAGGAAGAAGAAAGATGAGTACAACCCCAAGAACACCATCCCAACCGTGAAGCATGGAGGTGGAAACATCATTCTTTGGGGATGCTGTTCTGCAAAGGGGACAGGACGACTGCACCGTACTGAGGGGAGGATGGATGGGGCCATGTATCGCGAGATCATTGGCCAACAACCTCCTTCCCTCAGTAAGAGCATTGAAGATGGGTCGTGGCTGGGTCTTCCAGCATGACAACGACCCGAAACACACAGCCAGGGCAACTAAGGAGTGGCTCCGTAAGAAGCATCTCAAGGTCCTGGAGTGGCCTAGCCAGTCTCCAGACCTGAACCCAATAGAACATCTTTGGAGGGAGCTGAAAGTCCGTATTGCCCAGCGACAGCCCCGAAACCTGAAGGATCTGGAGAAGGTCTGTATGGAGGAGTGGGCCAAAATCCCTGCTGCAGTGTGTGCAAACCTGGTCAAGACCTACAGGAAACGTATGATCTCTGTAATTGCAAACAAAGGTTTCTGTACCAAATATTAAGTTCTGCTTTTCTGATGTATCAAATACTTATGTCATGCAATAAAATGCAAATTAATTACTTAAAAATCATACAATGTGATTTTCTGGATTTTTGTTTTAGATTCCGATATGCTCTACTCAAAATTAAAACCTCCTTCAGGGTAGCTCACTGCCAAACACCAAGACTATGCACTGTAATATTTTCTAATAAATGGTTAAACGTACACGTGGTGTTTCCTTTCTGAAATGGAATTGACCCCAACAAGATGAGTTAAAATGTAAACAGTAACATTCACTCTCTGTGCTAAAGTGGCAGAGAGGTGTCTTGTCCTTCTAGATTCCATATGTTACACCCCTATTATACACCTCATTGTTTTCGACATACAGTATGAATAAACGATTGTGTGTCTGCTTGTGCAGCAGACAGTCAGTCATGGTTGCTCATGGTCACGTGATGAGGTAGCCTAACCTGCGACTTCAAAATCAGTGTCAGCTCTCGGCCCAAGAGGGAATTACCTCGTCTAATTAAGACGTTGGTTTCTCCCATGGGAGACTCGGGTTCAGATCTGTGTCTTCTTGTGTGTGTGTGTGTGTCTGAATGTGTGCATGTGTTCGTATTCGTTCCTCTCCTACGTTTAGTTCAGAGGACCATTCTATCAAATCAACATCAGTCAGTCTTCAGACCATCATTAACATACAGTAGAGAGTTCCTTAAACAGCAGCGCAGAGAAATGACCTGGGAGAAGCCTATTTCTCACAGATCCATTCTTGTAAAAAGGAACATCCCAAATCCCTCCATACTCTTCGGCCTAATGACATGTAATAGATTTCCCCACAGTTCTGGTATGTACCACCACCAGGCTCTCCACTCCTCCAATACCTGCAGTAGAAACAACAGAGTTAGACTGGTCTCTCTTTCAGAACCTAGAATATGAACAACACAGAGAGTCAGTCCTACTCCTTACACTGTGGTCAGTGTTATTAGAGCAGTAGTATATTACCTTGGGGTGGTCAGTGTTATTATAGAGCAGTAGTCTCTTACCTTGGGGTGGTCAGTGTTATTATAGAGCAGTAGTCTCTTACCTTGGGGTGGTCAGCGTTATTAGAGCAGTAGTCTCTTACCTTGGGGTGGTCAGTGGTGTGCCGTCCACCCATTTCCAGGTCCCCTCAGTAACAGAGTCAGTCAGACCAATCCAGACATAACTGACTGATTCAAACCCATTGATGAATGCCTGTTGTGGTGGCACAGAAAAAAACATTGTTAATAATACATGATAAATACAGTAGTTCTCTCTGTCTCTGTCTCTCACCTGTTCCTCTTCACTGTTAATGATCACCAGGTCTGCTCCTCTCTCCAGACAGTCCTGTCTACTCTCCTCCCAGGATTTCTTCTCAGTAGAGAGATAGTAACATCTGCAGCCAAACCTTCTCCATCCTTCAGGACAGGACCCTAGAAGTTTGGCATTTACTATCTTTGACACGGGCCTATTTACATAATGAATATGAATTCAGAGGGCATAAATGGTTAAATATTAATCTTTGTAAACGATATAATTAGGACTGGTGGAGTTGTCACACATGCAGCTAACAAAAAAGTATGAAAATATATGCTCTACTCAAAATTAAAACCAACTAATTGCAGCATTACCGCAATTAGGCAAGTGGAAGGTGGAGAAAGTAAGGGACTTGTCTGTCGGCCCTGCACTAAAGACCAGAATTGTGATAAATAAAAAAAGTATACAAGTTTCATTTAAGGACCAAAAAATTGACAGCTGTGCCAAATAGTTGGGAAGAGATTTTCGATGTACCGATTCCACGGCACATTGTTTACGAACTGATACACAAAACGAAGCTGGATTCAAAAAAAGTTTTTCAATTTAAACGACACAGAATTCTTGCAACCAATAGAATGTTATATAAAGTGCATTCGGAAAGTATTCAGACCGCTTTACTTTTTCCACATTTTGTTACATTACAGCCTTATTCTAAAATGGTTTAAATTGTTTTTTTCCCCTCATCAATCTACACACAATACCCCATAATGACAAAACCAAAACAGGTTTTTAGAAATGTTTGCAAATGTGAAATATTACATTTACATAAGTATTCAGACCCTTTACTCAGTATTTTGTTGAAGCACCTTTGGCAGCGATTATAGCCTCAAGACTTCTTGGGTATGACGCTACAAGCTTGGCACACCTGTATTTGGAGTTTCTCTGGAGATCCTCTCAAGCTCTGTCAGGTTGGATGGGGAGCGTCGCTGCACAGCTATTTTCAGGTCTCTCCAGAGATGCTCGATTGGGTTCAAGTACGGGCTCTGGCTGGGCCACTCAAGGACATTCAGAGACTTGTCCCAAAGCCACTCCTGCGTTGTCTTGGCTGTGTGCTTAGGGTCGTTGTCCTGTTGGAAGGTGAACCTTCGTCTCAGTCTGAGGTCCTGAGCGCTCTGGAGCAGGTTTTCATCAAGGATCTCTCTGTACTTTGCTCTGTTCATCTTTCTCTCAATCCTGACTAGTCTCCCAGTCCCTGCCGCTGAAAAACATCCCCACAGCATGATGCTGCCACCACCATGCTTCACCATAGGGATGGTGCCTGGTTTCCTCCCAACCTGGTCTGAGAGTCCTTTAAGTGCCTTTTGACAAACTCCAAGCGGGCTGTCATGTCTTCCATCTGGCCACTCTACCATAGAGTGCTGCAGAGATGGTTGTCCTTCTGAATGGTTCTCCCATCTCCACAGAGGAACTCTGGAGCTCTGTCAGAGTGACCATCAGATTATTGGTCCCCTTGCTGACCAAGGCCCTTCTCCCCAGATTGCTCAGTTTGGCCGGGCGACCAGCTCTAGGAAGAGTCTTGGTGGTTCCAAACTTCTTCCATTTAAAGAATGATGTAGGCGACTGTGTTCTTGGGGACCTGTTTTGTTAAGACTTCAGTGCGGCTTTTGACATTATCGATCATAGTCTGCTGCTGGAAAAACGTATGGGTTATGGCTTTACTCCACCTGCTATATTGTGGATACAGAGTTACCTGTCGAACAGAACACAGAGGGTGTTCTTTAATGGAAGCCTCTCCAACATAATCCAGGTAGAATCAGGAATTCCCCAGGGCAGCTGTCTAGGCCAATTACTTTTTTCAATCTTTACTAATGACATGCCCTGGCTTTGAGTAAAGCCAGAGTGTCTATGTATGCGGATGACTCAACACTATACATGTCAGCTACTACAGCGACTGAAACACTTAACAAAAAGTTGCAGTTATTTTCAGAGTGGGTGGCAAGGAATAAGTTAGTCATAAATATTTCTAAAACTAAAAGCATTGTATTTGGGACAAATCATTCACTAAACCCTAATCCTCAACTAAATCTTGTAATAAATAATGTGGAAATTGAGCATGTTGAGGTGACTAAACTGCTTGGAGTAACCCTGGATTGTAAACTGTCATGGTCAAAACATATTGATACAACAGTAGCTAGGATGGGGAGAAGTCTGTCTATAATAAAGCGCTGCTCTACCATCTTAACAGCACTATCAACAAGGCAGGTCCTACAGGCCCTATTTTTGTCACACCTAGACTACTGTTCAGTCGTGTTGTCAGGTGCAACAAAAAAAGGACTTAAGAAAATTGCAATTGGCTCAGAACAGGGCAGCACGGCTGGCCCTTGGATGTACACAGAGCTAATATTAATAATATGTATGTCAAATCTTTCCTGGTTCAAAGTGGAGGAGAGATTGACTTCATCACTACTTGTATTTATGAGAGGTATGACATGTTGGGTGCACCGAGCTGTCTGTTTGAACAACTGGCGCACAGCTCGGTCACCCATGCATACCCCACAAGACATGCCACCAGAGGTCTCTTCACAGACCAAGTCCAGAACAGACTGTGGGAGGCGCACAGTACTACATAGAGCCATGACTACATGGAACTCTATTCCACGTCAAGTAACTGATGCAAGTAGTAAAAACACCTTAAGGAACAGCGGGGACTGTGAAGCAACACAAACATTGTCGCAGACACATGCATACACACACACGATAACATACGCACTATACACATACGTACAGATGAATTTTGTACTGTAGATACAGTGGGGAGAACAAGTATTTGATACACTGCCGATTTTGCAGGTTTTCCTACTTACAAAGCACGTAGAGAATCACATGAAAATCACATTGTATGATATTTAAGTAATTAATTTGCATTTTATTGCATGATATAAGTATTTGATACATCAGAAAAGCAGAACTTAATATTTGGTACAGAAACCTTTGTTTGCAATTACAGAGATCATACGTTTCCTGTAGGTCTTGACCAGGTTTGCACACACTGCAGCAGGGATTTTGGCCCACTCCTCCATACAGACCTTCTCAAGATCCTTCAGGTTTCGGGGCTGTCGCTGGGCAATACGGACTTTCAGCTCCCTCCAAAGATTTTCTATTGGGTTCAGGTCTGGAGACTGGCTAGGCCACTCCAGGACCTTGAGAGGCTTCTTACGGAGCCACTCCTTAGTTGCCCTGGCTGTGTGTTTTGGGTCATTGTCATGCTGGAAGACCCAGCCACGACCCATCTTCAATGCTCTTACTGAGGGAAGGAGGTTGTTGGCCAAGATCTCGCGATACATGGCCCCATCCATCCTCCCCTCAATACGGTGCAGTTGTCATATCCCCATTGCAGAAAAGCATCCCCAAAGAATGATGTTTCCACCTCCATGCTTCACGGTTGGGATGGTGTTCTTGGGGTTGTACTCATCCTCCTTCTTCCTCCAAACACGGCGAGTGGAGTTTAGACCAAAAAGCTCTATTTTTGTCTCATCAGACCACATGACCTTCTCCCATTCCTCCTCTGGATCATCCAGATGGTCATTGGCAAACTTCAGACGGGCCTGGACATGCGCTGGCTTGAGCAGGGGGACCTTGTGTGCGCTGCAGGATTTTAATCCATGACGGCGTAGTGTGTTACTAATGGTTTTCTTTGAGACTGTGGTCCCAGCTCTCTTCAGGTCATTGACCAGGTCCTGCCGTGTAGTTCTGGGCTGATCCCTTACCTTCCTCATGATCATTGATGCCCCACGAGGTGAGATCTTGCATGGAGCCCCAGACCGAGGGTGATTGACCATCATCTTGAACTTCTTCCATTTTCTAATAATTGCGCCAACAGTTGTTGCCTTCTCACCAAGCTGCTTGCCTATTGTCCTATAGCCCATCCCAGCCTTGTGCAGGTCTACAATTTTATCCCTGATGTCCTTACACAGCTCTCTGGTCTTGGCCATTGTGGAGAGGTTGGAGTCTGTTTGATTGAGTGTGTGGACAGGTGTCTTTTATACAGGTAACAAGTTCAAACAGGTGCAGTTAATACAGGTAATGAGTGGAGAACAGGAGGGCTTCTTAAAGAAAAACTAACAGGTCTGTGAGAGCCGGAATTCTTACTGGTTGGTAGGTGATCAAATACTTATGTCATGCAATAAAATGCAAATTAATTACTTAAAAATCATACAATGTGATTTTCTGGATTTTTGTTTTAGATTCCGTCTCTCACAGTTGAAGTGTACCTATGATAAAAATTACAGACCTCTACATGCTTTGTAAGTAGGAAAACCTGCAAAATCGGCAGTGTATCAAATACTTGTTCTCCCCACTGTATGTGGTAGTAGTGGAGTAGGGGCCTGTGGGCACACAGTGTGTGAAATCTGTGAATGTATTGTAATGTTTTTTAAATTGTATGAACTGCCTTAATTTTGCTGGACCCCAGGAAGAGGAGCTTCTGCCTTGGCAGGAACTAATGGGGATCCATAATAAATACAAATGTTGCAGAAATTGGTTGGTACCCTTCCCCAGATCTGTGCCTCGACACAATCCTGTCTCGGAGCTCTACGTACAATTCCTTCGAACTCATGGCTTGGTGTTTGCTCTGACATGCACTGTCAACTGTGGGACCTTATATAGACAGGTGTGTGCCTTTCAAATCATGTCCAATCAATTTAATTTACCACAGGTGGACTCCAATCAAGGTGTAGAAACATCAAGGATGATCAATGGAGACAGGATGCACCTGAGCTCAACTTCAAGTCTCATAGAAAAGGGTCTGAATACTTACAGTATGTAAATAAGGAATCTGTTCATTACATTTGCACAGACCCCCCCCCCCCCGTTTTTGCTTTGTCATTATGGGGTATTGTGTGTAGAATAAGGCTGTAACGTAACAAAATGTGGAAAAAGTGAAGGGGTCTGAATACTTTATGAATGCACTGTACAGTTGAAATCGGAAGTTTACATACAGCTTAGCCAAATACATTTAAACTCAGTTTTTCACAATTCCTAACATTTAATCCTAGTAAAAATTCCCTGACTTAGGTCAATTAGGATCACCACTTTATTTTAAGAATGTGAAATGTCAGAATAATAATAGAGAGAATTATTTATTTCAGCTTTTATTTATTTCATCATATTCCCAGTGGGTCAGAAGTTTACATACACTCAAT